TTTAGATCGCATTAATCTGAATGTTTTAGAACATGTATAAATGCAGAAAGTGTCTTCTGAAGCGTGTAATTTCCAAATGCTATGTACGAATTTTTGAGTATTTGGGCAATTAGATGGGTAAATTGTTTATATGGCATAACGCAATGACTAGTAAATACATGTTTGTACCGTATATATATATATATTTTTTTTTTGATGTATAGCTTAATTGCGATATTTTTCTAAACAACATTTCAAAAAATATTATTGATTTGATTTCAATGCATGTGTAGTTAAGAGACAAAATAGAGCTTAAACAATCAATGGAATCCTTGTTTTTTAGCTAATTTTTTAGTTATTTTGCTCTTAAGACCCTAATATATGAATTTTGGACTACCATATGATCATATCTTATATGCTAGTAGGACAGATTGATGTAACCCAACAACTGCAAGAACGATAAGTATAAATTAGCAACAAATAGAAAAAAGTTTTATAAGAAAAACTAACAGAAAAGGCATATAAACTGGGAAAAAAAAAAAAGAGTTTGGTATTCCCTAAGGGAGTTTGGTATTTTGAAACCAGCTGCTCGTTTTGAGTCTTCTAACTGGTTTACTATTCAAAATGGCAGCTTTGGTTTCAAAAACCACTCTTTTTAAATATCTACCCGGTTTTATGTCCAAGATTAGAAGAGTTACGAAAATCTCTACGAGCTTTTCCGGTGACTTTTCTACGGTACCGGAAGTCTTTTCGTCTACTTCTCTAAGCTCGTGTTCGCCTGCTCTCTCTATTACCGGTGTCGCTCCGGGTTTCGTTCTTTTCCACATTCTCAGAATTGTGTTCCTCTAGCTTCACACTCTTCTCTCCTATTTTTAAGACCGAATTGAGTTCTTACTCTTTGGGGACTCTGTTCTATCTACCGGTGTCTATCCGGGTTGTGATTTGTCTTCAGAAGCTGCTTCTCTTTTCAGTTTAAGGTAGCCGTCAACGAAAATTGTTGAGATGTCAAATCGATTTTCCCGGTCGAAAAAAGGCAAATGGCCAGCGGAACAACAAAGGAGCTTCCGTCGCACACCTATTCCCATTCCAGAAGGTGATAATTCCTCACTGATTAAGGCTAACAAACTGACTCTGTTTGGTAGAGCTACAAACCAGCGGTTCAACCTCCAAAGGCGATTGTCAACTTTCTCCCTCAACTGTGGAGCTTCAAAATAGAGTCGCTGGAAGTGA